TTCAAAAGATTTCTTGGAATTTTCTGTAGGTTCATCTGGAGTCAACCAATCAAAACCAGATTTTAGACCAAGGTGAAGAAAAGTAAACTAAAGAATTGCCTCAAAATTGGAACACGTTTTCTTTTGAAGTCACAATATTGTAGAATGAAGAAAAAATATGGACTTTCGGACCTTCTCAATGAAATTTAATCTTACCAAGGAGCATTTTCATCCAAACATTTTCATAATTGACCAATTTTAATGTCCATCTAAAGCTCAGTTTACTCAGTTTCATGCTGCCATCATTATTGCCTTATTGTCTTATAATCGTCTGTCAACGACTGAAGGGTAACTGGTTTCTATTAATAAATATTTAGATGATGATGATATCTAAACTCGATTTTCTGTTTCAGTTGTTTAAATTACGGTCTGAAGAACACTTTACAACTACAGTCTTTACTTTTGTTAAATATAAAGAAGGAAATAATTATAGAAATTCTGGTGCAATACAGCTTTAATATTTAATGTTATATTTCACTGTTTAAATCTTATGCATAAACATATTCTTTTAATTTCCTACATAGACATAGTTTTTTGATTAATTCCCTGCATAGACACTTTTTTTGCTTAATTTTATGCATAGACATTTTCTTTTGCTTAATTTTATGCACAGACATATTCTTTGATTAATTTCCTGCATAGACATATTCTTTTGCTTAATTTTATGCATAGACATATTCTTTTGCTTAATTTTATGAGGGTTTGGAGACGCTTAAGGAGAAGACTTTTATAAGTTATTATAACTTTTGTCTAATCGTTTTGTATTGTAAAATGTAATGTAGATGAAATAAGACAATCTTAAACTAACTAAGACACATGGATGATTTAATGCAATTAGTCAAATTATGGCAAATTTCTTACATGTAATTAGTGAATCAAACATTAGTAAATCTCCACACATATAACAGGTGAACACCTAGTGCAACAAGAGATGGTCAAAACGACTTATTGGCAATGGTACTTGATTTCACTATTTTTTAACTGACAATAATTACCCCCTTCAATGTACACTGTCACAAGTTGCAAATATTTGTAAGTGAAAAAGAAAATACTTTACACACGAGAATATGATTCACAAAACATTCTAGAGAAGAAAATAAAAGAAGAATTTCTATACTAATATATCATTTATAAAAAAAATGGCAAATGTAGTTTATATAATGAAGCCTTTACAAGAAATAACACAATTTTTGGCACGGTAATATTCAATTTTGTGAACACACATGCTCTTGTCAGTAAACAGTGTATTTTATATAGAGGCCTAGCATGCATTTAAAACGTGGAATTTGTAGCAGAATTCCTTCTCAGTGAATCATCGTGTATTCTTCCCAGCGCATTTTACATAGCCTGCTACTTGTAGAAACCACTAAACTCTCAGTAAAAACAACTTATATTACCGGTAACATATGCTAAATATACCAACAGGTACCTCGAATGCACACGCTTTAGACTACTGAGCCCACACGATATTCTGATTCATCATTTGGTGTTTATTGAGCTCACGAAGACCTGGTGAATATAAATTCCGTGAATAAACATCAACTAGCCTATAATTTTACCGCTAGGTAAATATTGCACTCGTAACAGACATGCGTTATACAGTATATAACTTGATGTAAATATAAGTAAATTTCTCTTTCGTTTAAAGCAGTGTGCCATGGTTTATTTCACCTTGATTTTAATCAACTTTTCGAAACTTTAAAAATTTTTTTTTCCTTTTTACTTACGTCACTCCAATCAGTGTCATTCATAAATTTGATGTAGGCCTACGCTATGAAATTATCTGATTTCCTCCAATACACACAGTTTTCTAAATGTTTAAAGTTGGAAATCTAAGATAAGCCCTATAATAAGTACCTGATCATACATATACAAGTGTTTATACTTATAAAGGAGAGTTAATGCTCTTATTTATTAATTTCTTCTATCTTCATTAGCCCAACTTATGCAGAGAAGTAGAATTTTAATTTCTAATAGAAGTTATAATTTTTGTTTTAGTGTTTTTATATAAATTATCTATGAACAATAACGATAATTTTTGAGAGCCCCCCAGAAATCCAACTACCACAGAACTATGAAACTGCATGTGAGCCATAAAAACTTTTGAACAATTTTTAAAAATTTGTCTTTTCGAATAAGCAATTAGCTTGCTAACAAACTTGAATTACAAAGATTTTGAGTACGGTAATAAACAGAGATGACTACAGTACTTCTAATGGAAGAAATGTTTATTTTTAATGGGTCAAGTCATAAGATAATAATCTATCAATACAGCTGTTTACGTTGAGAATTCCATGCATGTTTTACCACCATTATAAATATCAACAATATCAACTCTTCATTATAGATCTACAGATTCATTACCCTTTAAGCACTCTTATGAGGTACCTAATGATCTATAATTTCGTTGTTGTTATGACTTTAAAGAGAGAAATCCTAGAAAAAAACCTTCTTCTAAAATGTTAAATAAATTTCAAAGACCACACAATATGACCAAACAAAATGTTATCTACTTATAGCCAGTGATTAGTATATACACACTATGGCAAGTTCACACCAATCTGATTAAAATTAACTAACTGAACCATCTTCCCTCAAAGTCGCAAATCTAGACCCCCCCCCCCCCCCCTGTAAATACAACTTTGCCAATTATCAAAAACACTCTTAATCACCTCAAACACCAGTGACATCAAAGTGACCAAATGCATATTAGTGTGGTTTTCCTTTGTCAGTGTTTCAGGATAGATGGCCTGGGCGGCAAGGAACAATGCCTATTCAGTCAGATGGTCCAGAAAATTTAGGTTCATTGTGTGTGTGTTATTGTACAAGTCAAAGAACACTAGAGAGTTTGAATTTGATGAAGAGGGTTGGTGCAAAAAAGTAGGGCGTTAAACCCTATTTCATTTAATATCATTTCTTTTCGCAACATTAAAATAAAGACATTCTTATTCTGAACAATGGAATAAAATGTATTTAAAAATAGACTATAAATGCTTAAAATAATAATAGTTTTTCTTCCTCGTTGATAAGAACCAGATATTATTACCCAGTCTCCCTGGCCACAAGATAAAAATAGCACATATAAACAAAGCAAAGGTGACATGTTGGATTTTTTTCAGTCATGTTATGAAACAACCCGCACTTAATAATCTAAGAAAAGAATTTTTAACATATGTTAGCAGATGCCAAACTAGCGTCTGACCCCACAATTAGCATGCTTTTACCATCTGACAAAACAAAGCCTTTACTTTCAACAACAAAAGATAGTTTTCCAAAAAATGTTTATGTTTTGCAGTAATATAATAAATGTATATGCATGTGTATTAGAATGAAGAAATAAAAGTTGATGATTTCTTTTAAACTGGACGTATTTTTTATCTTTTTATTCATATATCCAGTTATAAGGATGTCATGCTCCGTATTGTTAAAGTTGATGGTTGTTATTCAAATTTTGTGGACAATTTAATCCACACAAAATGTACTCAAGGTTTATTATTTAATATTTAATTAAGACAACAAAATCAAAATATCAATAGTAGATAATCCCCCGGCTTGGATTTAATTGGATTAAAAAGATTATTATCATTATTATAAATTAATTTTTAAAGCGCTACATTATAACAATAGTTATTTCTAAGTGCTGTACAAGCATATTTACACAATGGTGCCCAATTGATTCTATTTATAGATGAGTCTTAGATTTAAACTGAGATAGTTGGGTACCGACCCACCTGATGCTGAAAGTGGGGAACCGCTTTTTGGGTCGTGTCACGTCCTGAATAAAGATTAGTCCAACCAGTGGTGTTAACATTAAACATTTCCATCACGTAATTAGAAGCTGTTTTGGATGCTTGTTTATATATTGTCTAGAGGATGCTGAGAAATTGTCATCTCACCATAACTTTATAAATACAGAATCAAACCATTTCTGTACTGATGTTCCTTTAGAGATCCAACTTTTACAATATTGTATTTATAAGAAATTCTAAATCCCTCAGTTTACAATCAACAGACTTTAATATTTATTGTTGGCAGGGGATCCCTCGTAAACTTTTATGTTAAAGCCTTCTTTTTAAATATATAGTGTAAAAAAAACAACCTGTGTAAATTTTGATATGGAGGTGGCCTTATCGCAAGTTCTTCCTTAATGTTTAACGTCAACAACTGATAATTCCAATTTTTGGGTTTCATCATATTTAATTTCCTACACATTTAGCGAAAGTAAAATGTGGTTTATATCAGGATATAACTTAATTACATTATGATTTTGCGTGAAAATATTACGTAAACTGATCAAATGTAAAATAATCATTTTTTTACATACACTAAGTATCTGATTGACGTCATCAAAATAAACTCTGCAACTACAGAATGAATTCATTCACAAACTTCCACCCCCACATTCTCTAATCTCACCAAATAAATTAGATACACTAATAAATTCTAGATTATAAAATTTGCCCAGATGTAAAATGCAGGCTTTGATTCATTCATCCAGGGTTTTTTTATTAAGTTTATCTTTAAGACATGTCTCAACTTTCACCGACCCCCTCCTACTGAAGTGCTTCTGGGATCAGCTAAATATGTCAAATTAGGTGTAAATCTCTAGCATTCAGGTTTTCTTATCTCAGCTGTGCCTATACGCTTTGTACAGAAGCAAGAAAAGGTCAAAACATCTTTTAAATTTTTAAGTATTTTAAACAAAATACATTCCCGGTATCATATCTCTCCATTTTTAGGTCATGTCAACGATTAATTTCCTCAATTTATCTAATAAATATTTAATTCACCTAATAAAACGGAGAAATTAAATGGATTTCAGTGAGTAGAACAGGCCAATTTAAATGATTCAAGATTAAAATTCACTTCATCTTGTCATAAGAGCAGATAACAGTTCTAAGTTCTGGCTGAATTACCAAATCACCATGGCAATTAAAATAATTTGTATTAGTTCCTCTTACCTGCATTAGTTCCATCTTTTCCTTTTCACTATTAGACATTGCTTGTTGTATCTGTCGAATCTTGCCTAATATTCCCTGGGCCTGGGTTACACTGTAACCTCCATTCATACCAGACAACTTTTGGTCTACCCTAAAAGAAAAAAAATATTTCATTTTAGTCTTTTGGAATATCAGTGGGGACATTTTTGTATTAATAAACAAAGTAGTGTAGCTTTGAGAATCCTAAAATACTGATCATTGATCCTGTAGAGTTAATTGACACCTTAGTTTCGTATCTCAGAGACTACCAGATGGTGCAAGACATCTGAGAATCTTTCTTAAAAATTTGCCTGTAATAAAAAATGATTGATAGGTGACTTGAACTGAAAGGAAAGCTAAGATGAAGATAGAAAACCCAGTCCAGAATCATTGTCCCGTCAGTCGAACCGTATTTCAACTCCCTGCTTTTTGTTCCCTTAAATGTAAAGGCCTAGGTGAAAAAATCATAAAGAAAAGTGTGACATATAATCATGCACTGTAGAAAGTCTGATATGATGTTTATTGTCTTGGGAGATAAACCTGGAAATAAGGCACCTGTCACAGACATTGTCAGACACAAACCCTTTGGTGCTTGTTGTTATTGTTCTGTTTTTATTGATTTTGTCAGTTAATTAGTTCAGTAGTGTCTGACATTTTGTCAGGTGGAACTTAAAATGTTATTTCCAGACCTGCTTATGTATATCAAAATTTTGGCATAAATTGTATGTTTTTCTATTGTTGCAAGCATATGGTCATTATTTATCCTAAGATATCTTGACCATATTTCTCTATTCAAAATTCAAAGTATAACATTTATACATGTATACTGATGAGCAAGGAGGTTTTAGAACTTTAACAAACTATACGAGAAAAACAGTTTAATTGAAGACAGGAGAGAGAAGCAAGATGTTTAAAAGAGATAAACAAGGCAGTTAGTATATTGGATTAATTAGTTTGTATCAACAAACATGGCTAGACAATCAATGACAAAATAATGATTGAAATTCTAACAGAACACACAGAAGGAAAAAAGTCACAGTTCTTGTTAAATGTCTGGAAATTATCAATTGTTTCAGTCCTTAAGAAATGCTTCTTAACATTCTCCGATAAAATTCAAGTACTAACCAACCAACACCTCATTTATTCTTTCATGGGACAGAGCTGGACTGAGCATCTGCTGCCACCGAGGGTGATGTCACAGACTAACCAACCCCACCAATTACGTTCGTTTAAGAGCAAAGAAAGATAAATGCATGACAAAATAAAAGCTGCTGGTCATCAGTTGAGCGAGTTCAAATTCCTTGAAAACTAAAATAATGTTAAAGTTGAATCTCCAAAAGAAATTTCAGACCGAAAAGGTTTTCATTATGATCAGTATTTATAAAGATACGACCAATCCAAAAATTCACAATATTAGACATCCTCTCTTTAGACGATATAAACAAGACAACACCACTTAACGTGTGTTGCATAAAATCTTTTGATGAACCTCTATTTATTCCGAATGAACCAAGGATTTTGTTTGAATTCAATGAAAATTAACATGTTAAATAATCAATTTCTGTATATTTTAGCGTGGATTAAGCTGTGGCATGGTCAAGGTCGAGAAAGTTCTGGCATGGTTTCCCCTTGGTAAAGAACAAAGTGCAGTCGTGACAAAAAAAAAATGTGATTGGGAATGCAAAATAAGCCATAGGTCCACTGTCCAGGCAAAATTTCTTTTACAGCACACTGCATGGCATTTGCCAGTTATTCATTAGTCCGGATGGAGCAAAGAAAGTAGGATATTAAATGATAAAACACTATTTCATGCCATTTATCTGAATGATTAAAAAATCAAGGAAGGTGAATTAATATAACATGAGTATTCTCTGCCCTTAAAATCAAAGAAGAAATTTAATGATTCATCTTAAATTACAATAATAATCATATCCTAAACTTCAAATTATCTTTAAATACAGTCGTATATCAATATGTATTATGAATCATGAGAAAATGGAAGCAAGTACTTGAAAATAAAGTCCTTCCAGCATTTCAACATCGGTATTTCCTAGTTATTTTAAGTAATTGTTGTAAAGTTATCTGAACATCCACTTAACTTATCTTAAAAAAACCTGCAACTACGTATCACAAAATAAATTTGTTCTTCCAATTATTTTGTATTAAACAATTTTTGTCTATCAAGGTAGATTTTTTTGTAACCCACTTAAGTGACGATATCCGTACGTGTATTTCCTGCATGATCAAGTCATTTTGTATGATATCCGTTTTAGAGTCTTATTCTTATCAATAAATTACATCAGGGTCAAGGTGAATTGGACAGAATATCTAGCAGACCTCATTTTCCCAAATATTTTTTCAGAGCTCCTTGAGATATTGTTAATTCATAAACATATAACAGAGCTACAAAAATCTGTTCACAATAAGACCTACTCAAATAAGAAGGGGTATGAGGTGTTCTAGGAAAAATAAGCAAATCATGACTCAAGGTGGCAGCAGAAATTTTAGCAGTTGTCATTTCAACCCAACCCACCCTCACCCATAATGTTTGAGCTCCTTGGAAAATTGTTTATGCATAACCATAAACTACAACAGAGCTATAAAAGTTTGTAAGTATCAAATAAGAAATGGTATCACATCATGCCATGTACTATCTAAAGCAACAGTTTGTGCCTGGAAGTTGAAAACTGCTGAGGGAGGTTTGATGGCCGAATGGTTAGCATGTTTGTGGTGTATCATACAGTCTGTCATTGAGTCAACTGGTGTGGTTTCAATTCTCTGGTTGTACGTGACAAGGAGTAGGGGCATCTGTCCAACCTCGTGGGTTTTCTCTAGGTCCTGCGGTTTCCTCCCATGGCTAAAGACCCTTATGCACAAGCAAATTATTGAAATAAAATTGAACCATATGTTGGTCTCTCTTTGAAAGCTGCTGGGTAGAAAATACTCTTGGTGCCAAATAATCACAAAAACAATTTTCATTCAGTTTCCTACAACTTGTAACTTGTTTTCAGTAAATTCAATCAATATGTATAAATAATTTAATATCAGTATAGTTGAGCGATGAAGATAAAAAGATAAGAGAGATAAATAATAGTTATATTGTTGGCTTACTACCATCATTTATTAAAATCATTGTGACACTTAACTAGGGTGGAGCCTGCTGTTTTGTCATCTTCATTAAAGTTTTATACAAGTTTGTGATAAAACTAATTTAGTATGAAGCGTAAATATCAGAGAATTGAGATCCATGGTGGCTCAGTGATAAGGTGCTGACTTGCAAATTTCGAGGTCCCAGGTTCGATTTGAATGTTGGCTGAGAAAGTACATCAGGATTTTCCGGCATGGTTTTTCCCTTGTCAGTGGTGCAGAACAGAGGGTCTGGCAAGGAAGTGTCTAGTTGATTCGATGGGACGAATAACCATGGTCCCTTGTACACATTGTCATGCACATAAAAAAAAACCTTAACAGTTGGAATTCGAAAAAAGAGTAGACCATAGTACTGCTGTAAGGACAAAGTTACCCCTTTGCACATTAGATGGGTCAGAAAAGCCAGAACATTAAGTTAAATTCCATTTCATTTCCACACAGAATTAACCAGTTCTATTCACATATCTAGCATATCTCTACAACAATTTACAAGTGTCTGTGCAGATATAATTAATCAAATATATGTAGTTGTTCAGTTACATTTTAAAATAACTGTCATTCTACAATGTACATATCAACACCTATATATTAATTTAGATTCATTGATAAGTTTAGAAACACTGTCTGCAGTTATATCTAAATTAAAACCACAAACAAAAAATCATGGCATGCATTTGAACAAATTGTTATAACTTTATGAACGTGAACTTCGCTCTTTTCACACCGAATGTTCATTTGTCTTTTTTCTAGAAAACAAGTCTATAGAATTATCAACAAGACACACATTACCAGAAACCTTAACCCCTTAACCTTTTCAACAGCACCTGTCTGAACTCTGTGGACTGTTAGAATTTGGAGAATTTCACAGTCAACACTACTGACTGGGTATTGCTTAATTACTTCAAACAATGTCACAAGACTCTCTATGAAAAACATCTGCAAAATATCACTCTCCATTTACTTTTTTCTCCCAGTTTTGAAGACAGAAGTCAGGATAAAATCTCTTACTTTAAATGTGTGAAACATAAATAAATTGAAAGTGACATTTTGTATAATGTAGTGATATAATATACATATAATAAATCATGTTTTGTTTTTAGACCATTACACAAGTGCATTTAAAGATACGACTAGTGATTATGTTATAAATTTACATGTATATTTGCATACACTTACAGACATTTTCATTTGATTTGGGCAGGATGTGCAAATTCGGTGCCGAAATTTCTCTGTTTATGCCTGAATATTACCAGCCACAGAATATACCAAAAAGTGTCTTCCACAATTTTAATGCTTGATATGAGTATTGATAATGTTTGTAAGATTCTTGGTACATTTGATTAGAACATTAATCTTGAAGATTTTTGTTAGAATCTGACCCCAGATAGTCTGTTGTATAGATAGTTGTAATGGTTGCCCGGATTTCTGTGACCCCTTGCCTGAATATATAGGGGGACCTCTACCCCACTCCCGTGTCCCCCACCAAGTACGCCACGGTATACTTCCATACAGAAGCTATTTGATTTGTCTAAATCTTTGAAGAAAGTTGGCCAATCTTCTTCTTCAGGACATTTTCTTTGGCCCCAAATGTACAGACCCGAATTATTACCCAGAAGTAAATATATCAGCCCTACCAAATCTGCATTGGACAAGATATCATTCATTATAAAAAGATTCATATTTAAAACAATTGTTATTCATCATTTTTTCTTAATATTTAATGTTACTGCATCACAGAATAATAAATATTCATAATGAATTACATAAACAATGACACAATATATTTACGTTAATTTGCCAGTGTAGGAGTCAAATTTATTCCTATTTTTACATAATGTAAAACATAACACATAAAACATTTATCATATTCTGACATTTGTCATATTTTAACTTGACCAAAAAAGTCACCTGATTCTAATTATAACAGCTATTTCTAGCCTTTAGGCACATATTTAAATTTTAAGACTGTTGGCTATATGCATGATAATTTTTTTTTTTTTTTTGAGCTGAACACATTTTTATTATAAGGAATACAAGCACAAACAATGGCCAAAATTCAATATGAACTTGTTAATTCAATATGACCTTGTTAATTCAATATGAACTTGCAATTCTTTTAAATATATTCATATAACTGAAATAAGATGGCAAAAATACTTTCTTCAAAGATTAAGGCAAGGATTTGTCATCCCACCAAACCAAATTCATGTAGTTTCTGTATGGAAGTATAGAGTTGGATACGGAAGTGTGGCACTGTGCTCCGCAAAATATTTGGGCAAGCAGGTCACAGAAATCTGGGTAACCATTGCAGGCATACTTATTGAACATTAGGGATCAAATTCAATCATACTTCTCTTCTCTCCATATTTCTTCTTTAATTACATGTATTCTTCACGGAATAATAACTTGAATGTCAAGTTGGGAAGACAATTTGACCGATGGAAGTGGAACGGAATATGATGCAATAAGTCTACTGTTATATAAATAATGTAGGAGGATATAAAACTATCTGACTCAGATGTCAACTCCATAATTTTAACATCCTGTAACAATGAGCAAGCTACAACTCTTAAGAAATGTTATAAAATTGAATATTTATTAAGTGGTGGTTAGTTTTCCCAGATTCCTCTCATGAAGCTACTTGTTTAATTCTTATGAAAACTCTTCAGGCTTAAGTTATATTGTTCGTTCGTTCGTTTCTGGGGTTTTACGTCCACTTCCACCTAAGGTGATATCGTAGACAATGTGTTGTTATATTGTGTGACTGTTCCCTTTATATAGTCATTGGGGACCGGACCACAGTAGATGTCTTCGGTGGACCGGAGCAATTCTGTTTCACCAGACTCACTGCTTCTATAATTATGTATGAACAGAAAGTCGGCTAAAGAATTGTGGTAATACAAATTCTTATTTGCATAGACTCTAAACTCCCCACCATCTTTGTTTACATTTATGAAACTAAAAAAGATAAATCACAAACCTGGCGAGTTTTTCTACACCACGTTCTTGCTGCTGCATTTCGGCAGATATCTGTTGTAACTCCCATTTTAACCTGGCTACTCTTTCTTTTGCCAAGTTCACATCGGCCTTCAATAAATCTGGATCATACTTTGTACTTCCCACACTTGAATTGGAATTCACTAAAATTATATAAAAAAAATAACTTATTATGCATTAATAGGAGAGATAAGACAAGGTTGGCATATATCGGGTGGATAAGAGATAAAATGGAGTTTAACTTCCTAATTTTCTTCACCAACTGGGCTAATGAAAACAGGTTGGTAGATCATTTCAGGACTGACATGTGGTACAATTATTTCAAGAAGTCACTTGTGCGTTAGGAAATGAAATAAAATGAAATGGGGTTTAACATCCTGCAGTTCCACTTGTGTGTTAGGTCTTTAACAATTGGAGGACACTGAAGGACTCTGAGAAAACCCATGATGTTGGACAAGCTTGGGGTCAAAACCATACTTCTTGACCACTAGACAGTACCAACTCATCCCCCAGTGGATAAGGATGGTATTTAGATATTTAAAATTGGGCTAACAGAAAAAGTATTCTTTATAATTCACTCGATTACATGGTTACCACTGTTAAATCTAGACACAGTTGGGTCCTTATTTAGCTATCAGAAATTTTTTTGGCCAGAGTTAAAAGTGAGAAAGGTTACTTAATAGTTTGTTTAGAAAAACAACCCAATATCATAGTGTATGGGGTTAATTCTATTGGATAAGTATTGTATTAATCTTCCCAGCAGGAGCCTCTTCAGACTGTGAGGCCTTCAGCTTTAACTTGTCTAAATCTGGCCCAGATTATCTCCATCCTGTATAAATCATACAATCATGGCATGAAACTGTTTTTCAGCCAACATTGGGATCAAACCTGAAATTTCCTGGTTAGCAAGCCAGCACCTTACTCGCTGAGCCACTTCAGCTCCAAATAAATTTTTAATGTTCGGTTACTGTAAAAGTAATTATGAAATAAGTGATGTAAGGCCACACTAATTTGCAATTTGGTTCTTTGGGAACATCTAATATAATTTTTCATTTCTTTGGTTGCTCTTCAGGAAAGATTTTAGTTCAAATTTTGAAAGTTTTAAAATTTCAAATAAAATATTATTCATTTGACTCAAACAGAATTGCTATTTATTCATCAAAACCCTAAAGAGCTAAAAATTAAACTACTTTTGCCTAAAGCCTCAAGCGTTGATGTGTTGACCATATTGACCATATAGGCAACCATAAATACATAGACTGGTATGTCAACAATGGTATCAATTTATTCACTCATCACCATAAACTACAAAAACATGCTTTAATAACATATTTATTACGGCTAAAAAACAACAACTTATTTTTGGACATTTTTCCAGATACAATAACAGAACTTCTCAGATGTAGATTAAGATTGGAAAATAATGAGGATATTTTTGCCATTTTGGCTTTATGCTGATCACTTTCTAGGAAACAAATTCCTTCTGACATGATTTGGAGATTAAGAATGGAATGTTGTTAAAGAATGCCATGTATCACTTAAGAAATAAGTGATTCTACCCTACTCATAATAAATTGATCATTGTTATCAATCTAAATTCCATTTTTGAACAGTACAGTAACAGCAGGGAGATAGAATACTCCCAGAGTAGGAAAATCTGATAAGACAGGAATCATAAGAATGGTACCATTCCTTATATTCCATAAGGTCAAGGTTACATTCTCTACTTAAATCCTCTATATAAAACGATTTCAGTGAAATTCTTATCAGATTGCAACCTTTTGATGGAAATAAATGTAAGTGAGGGTGTTTAGAATACAGAACATAAATTTCATATCAGATATAGTCTCAGCAAAAGTATCCATCAAATTGATAATATGGTAACCATGGGGGGGGGGGGGGGGGAGAGACCAAGTTCAAGGTCAGCCTACACTAAGTAGGTCTATACAGACAAGACATATGATGAATGAAATAGTAGATTTTCTCTTTAGATGTAATGTAAACAAACTCTTCTTCTTTGCTTAAAAAGAGTATAGGCCTAAAAACAACCTTTGATATCAAAGCAAACAGTGAGTCATTCGTATCGAGTACTTTAAATATTAATATACCCTCAAAGGCACTTCAATTACTCGTCATTTGGTCTTAAAGCGGTTTGAATTACATTGTACAATGTAGTTGTTAAGAGGAGTGCAACTTCTAAATGTGATGAAAAATGGGATATTAACATCAAATCAATATGATTTGGTCACTTTGAGACTAAATTATTAGTATTAGTAAATCTTTATTTCGCTACTTTGCTTGTGTACAGGGGTCTTTAACAGTGGCAGGAAATTAGATCAGAAAGGGACCCTACTTTGTGTCATCCGCAATTATGGAATGGAACTTTTAAAAGTAAACTAATTGATGATAAAATCTACCTATTACAAAGAATGTCAAATTTAAGCATTATACTATACTTAATAAGTAACAATTATTTGGAAGAGAAACTTTTTTATAAATTTATGTTTCAGTGTCAAGTTTACATTACAAGTTTCTAAAGAATTCACCAAAACAATGGAAGTCATTTTTTTTACAGTCTTAAAGTCTTTCAACAGGAGGTGACTCCAGGGAATTGAGTGTATTAAAGAACAGTTTGAAACTAAACCATATTGCAGACATTCTTGGAATGTTCAAAGCGTCCCCATGGAGTTGAACCTACCAAAGTTGTACACAGAGAATAAAGGATGTAAACATTGGTTCCATCAGTTGTTATGGCCACCAGATGTCAGTGCCGCTACATACCAAGATACATACCACAGCAAGTAACATTACACACAACTTATAACTAAAACCATATGTAAACAAAGGCTCCAAAAATCCTCACTTATGTCAGAAATTCTAGGTTGATTTTCTGTGTGACTTTCTTAATCCTACAAATCATAAACTTACAAAGTTGCATTTTTATGCAAATATTCTAATGAATTCCATAATATTTTTTAAATAAAAGCAAATTTAGAATTTTATTCTTGTATTCAACTCTTTTTTTTTCACTCCCAGGTCATAACTTATTTTTTCTTGTAAATTGTTAACAGATGGTAAATTTCACACTTTACACTGAAATATTTTACAGGGTTTTTAATCCAAGAATAAACAACAAATTAACAATAAAATTTCTATTAGTGTTTGTAACAATGTTGAATGAATGTGTAAATGTACTATTAAGCAACAAAGCAATACCTTCATAAATTGTCCTACATCAAATATTTTAGTTGACCAAGTAAAGGAGAATTTGTCTAGCCAGACAAATAAGGAAAGAAAGTCAAACTTTGTGTATCTATGCCATCTTAGCATTCTGACTGGAAGACATTTTACGTCTGCACTGACTGCTTGCTTCACCCAAACGAAGAATTATTCAATCAATGTGATAACTTCATGTGAGATGGAGAGAAAAAAGGGTTGGTTGAGGTGTAATGCTTTCTTTCTTTTTTGAACTGCTGCCATGGCAGATCTCTTCTAACCATTAAGATATTCAATTAAACACACTAAAAACTGCAGTTACTAGTAATAGAAAAGGAAGAATATGCTTAGGATGGGTAGCCTATGCTTAGGATACATATTTAGGAAACACCAAGTACCACTTCTAAAATGAAATGTTTTTCCATTGTCCTATTTTAGTCTATTGCTATTCATTTGTCTTGATTTGGAATGCTTTTTATTGATGGGACAGAGTATAATTAGCCAATATCTTTTGGAAACACCTAGTAACACTTCTCAACTGCAATGTACTTTTTCTTGAGTTCTATTTAGTCTTTTATTGCTCTACCTCTGTGATTTTTTTAATACTAATTGTGTATAAGGACTTCTTCTCTTTCATTTTGTTTCAATATACAGTCATTTGTGTGTTTTTTTCTCTGTTATATGTAATTAGCCGCGTAAAAAAGCTTAACTCATCTGCATGATTGAGATCTGTGATGAGACTTAGAACGTACATGCAAATATTTAACAAAATGTTTCCAAAAAGTCAAAGAGAATGTTGCGTACAAATGACGAAAGTTTGTGATGTTTTAGAATCTGCTATGAATACATGTTATAATTTGACATACATGGGGTTTTGGTGTAGAAAGTCACACTGACACAATGGAATGTAAGCCAAATGTTTATAAGAGTAATCTAGGGTTACAGTATCTTCATCATACTGCTATATAATACTACTAACACGTACACCTATATATCACGTTTAATCTCTACATTAATCCCCCATACCCTTATCTCCATTTACTGTGTTACCTTATATATATATAACTATCTGCCATAGTGCTCACACACACATCAGAACATATCAGATACACAAATATAACTTATTAAAACAAATAAAATTTTATCACTATTTTGTCTCTGATGTATGGCAATATTAATTCTATCATCAAGCATAATAAAACAAATGAAATTTTATTCCTTTTTTGACGCCCATGGGAACGTTAATCCAACCAATATTTTATATAAATATGAAAAGTACACTGATCTTAAAGTTAAAATTTCTAAAAAACTGAAAACCCACCATTTAAATTTGTTTTTCATATGAGCAAAACATTTTCATACAAAAACTGAACTGGAATTGGGGAAACAAAAATGTGCCTATATTGACTGTTCTCCCTATATATTTATTGTTTTAATTCTAAATTCTTTGAAATACTTACTGTCATTGTATGAAAAATGAGAGAGAGAGAGAGAGAGAGAGAGAGAGAGGGGGTTTAACTCCACTCACACTTTTATTTTAATAGGATCCAGAGAAAACCTATGAGGTTGTGGGGAATTGAAACCATGTCACTTGACTCAATGACAGACAATCTACAAACAGAATTCAGAATTATTTGACGGATGAGCATATTGGTTTAAACAAACAGTATCTTATTCAAGTGAAGATGAGTTTGTACAATTTGTGATTTTGAGAAATCTAAGTGAATAGAATGCAGTAACCCACCAAGAAACTTATACAAAGAGCATTACTCTTACTTAGACTAATGAACCAATAGATATGTAATGAGATAAAGGTCTGACCAAGAACAAACATCTGAAGAGTTTAAAGGTATAGATATTACATGGATTATATCTAATTAATATAGATTAAACATACATTATATCATCTTCACATTATCAAGCGGCAAATGTACTACATTGTATGGTGTATTAATCTTTGACTTTTGTACCATAGTTTCACTAAATGTGTATAGTAGTCCAACATTGGAAGGTTTCTACACAGGACAAAACCCTCAAAACAATAAAACACATTTCGATAAGTTTTGATAATCAGTTTTCTTTATAAATTCTGTCAAATTTACTAATATAACAATTCTCAATTGAAAAACAGTTAATACAAATCTTACTCTGCACAAAACCCCCAAAACACACTTAGATCAGTTTTGATAGTCATAAATTGTCCAATTTAGTAATATAATTACAATTCTCGATTTTAAAACGGTCAATATATGATATCCAGACTAGACTAAGTACAACAATCAGAATTATATAATATGTTCATGAATTCATCCAATCATAAGCCTCAATATAATGAATTCATCCAATCATAAGCCCCAGTTCATCAGTTTTATATGATAGTTATGATAATGAACTTTACCAGGTTGAGTTGAGACAAGGAAATATAAAGCTTGAATGATGACAAGAACAACATTTTTGCATTTTATGAGAGATGTCTAATTTTGTGATGTCTAATTTGTTTTCTTTCATTTTTTTGGCAGACACTATGCGTAACAATCTCATTTGTTCCGGACAACCAGAATTCAAGCACAAACGGGTTTCAAGTTAAAACCACACAAATAACTGTTAAAGCAAAATTCTTTGGCATAAACAATATCCCTTATAAATAATATGAAGGGCTCAAGGCCCCTCTAGCCACTCTCAATGGTTACGCTACTGTTGACCGGATTCTATTGTAAGTAAGTGTATTTACATAAGATAATATAGAAACAGTCAACAAGGATATGGTTGAATTCTTGAAATATTTATACCTGTCTATCAGTGGTATATTTTGACCTTTAGTTTATGGTAGCTTATCTTTAGTAGGTTTACTTCTATTGTGCCTCCTTTAATAACCTTAACCATTAGTCAGTGGGCTTCTCAATTTTTAAAAGTGCATTGGCCCATTTGTGAAGTAAAAATACACACAATGAAACACAAGTATTTAAAGCTACTGATGGTCATTTGCACTTAAACAGAGAATATCTTATATTTTCACAACTTAATCTATGCTAAATTATACTAAAATTGATTATTTAACATCTAATTAAACAAATATTTAAAATTGATTATTTAACATCTAATAAAGAAAATATATATCAGTGGTAGATAATCTCCCACTCTTGGATTCAAGCAAATTAAAAAGAGGCCCATAAAAATATTTTACCTAACACTTATCGGTGAAGCTGGATAATTTATATCGTTTGAAGAGGATTGAGCAAAATTGATTCAACCTTTTAAATTAGAGATAACCGTTTTCCATTTGTATAAAACGCTAGGTAACATTTGATCAACAGTCATAATTGTTCATTCAAAGCTTCCCTTAAAAATCAGTTTTAGTGGGGGTTTTCAAATACATGTACCTACAAATAAATGTCCAATATCTTATTTGAATTTTGAAATCGGGAAAGTAATATATCTGTTAGTGTAAATCATATATCTATTAGTGTAGGAAAGAAGCCAAACTTTGAAAATTAAAAAACAAATTCGGATGAAATGATATACAAATTTGGAGAGAGGCCATTAAAGATTTTGTAATGGGCGAAGAGTAAAATATTCTAGCTATTGTCATTTTTTCTTCTCCATTTTTTTTCACAGCCTGGATTACCGAAGTCTAAAAGCTGGCAAGAATATTGTTATTAGTAATCATGACATGACACAAATTCTTCTTCTGTTTTCTTTTAACAAACAAACAAATCAAACAAACAACTTCATTTTAAAACAGAACCTAAAGGCCAAAAGCAATTAGTGTGAAAAATGGCAACCATGACAGTTATTTTAAAACAGAATGTTGGCAGGTTACCTTCATGACAATCAACTTGTGATGCAAGCATAATGCAAATATCCATAATCGACTTAACTTATGCGATAATATCCAATGGGGCATCAAATATAATTCTGTTAAGTTTAAAACAATAAATGGAGTGTAACGTCACTCAACAGATCTTTATCATTGCAGATACTAACATACCATGCAGAGGTGGACAAGTTTTTTCTATTCTGCAAAATAGCAAAATATTTGTGAAATTTTTCAAGGCGTTGGCGTGGACATACTGGTGGCAGAAGTGATCTTTGTGAAAGTAGATTCCAGCCTGTCAGTGAAAATCATATTTTTTCCACTCAGAATCTGAGTTGTATGATGTGAATCGGGCGCATCATTCAAAGGGGCACATCAAATGAAGGGCAACCAAGGGGTGGCACAAATTCTAGCTACAGCACTGGACATTTGTAAATCAATAATAAATAAGAAAGAATTATTTGCTTTTTGAACAATTTACAATAAAGCCTGGAATGAGTTAAAATGTAGCACAAAATGGTCACAACCTGAAATAGGTGGACAGCTTTATTGTTTTTCTAATGGTTTATATTATTTTGTTGAAATTCCAAAGTCATGACCTTTAACTGCTTTCCGGTTAAATCTGACACTCTGGGTGTAATTAAAAGAGTGACAGGTAATTCTAGACTATTAGATAATATACATATCAACCTACATGTACACTTATATGATGAATTGTTTTCACCAAGATATCTAGATCACATGCCGTGAATTCCGGTATATAAAAATCACCAGGAGATTGGTATTAGTCGAGTGTGTACTGCCAAGTACTAATGTGTTTAAAATGCGTAAAATATCAGTTTATCATGGGCACTGTATCAATTTCATCATCAACAACTTCAGCCATTATTTTACACTCTGTTGGTGCCAGTAGACATTCCTGGAAGTCCAACAGGTGATCTTAAACTCTTAGGTTCTTAAATCAAATAACATTATTTCTTACATACAATGTATATTACAGATGAAAGTCCCTTAATCAGTTTAAATCAATTTTTAGTTTATTCAACAATGGATGAAATGGGGTTAACGTCCTAATTTCCTGAATCATTTTAATTCAACAGTAGATGTAATTAGAGCTTTATAGTCAAGTCATTGCAAATCCAAAAATATCTTTTGTCAATCTCCAAAGGTCATTAACATTTTAATAATACTTTGATGTGGGAGTTGGGAGCTGGGAGGTCAGCATGTCTTTAAACAAATGTGATAAATGTTCAGCCCTATAAAATAAGGGAAACCACCAGTGTATAATGAAAGTCTAGTGCATTTATTCAAATTATGACCTCCATTTAAAATTAAAATTCTAATAATAAGTTGGTCTAGGACAAGAATAACACTAAGAGGAGCCTGAGGAGTCCTTATCGAGAGACAACGGTGCCATTTGCAGATCAAGTTTATTACAGGTTCTTTTTATGAGCATATACATTTCTGTTTTATTTATAAATTAAAAATTTTATCTACTTTACATGTATATGTATATGGAAGGTATGGGTTCAGGGCCAAATATATAGTATGCTATGGTAACCTGGCATTAGTTTTCAGACAAAAACTTCACTTTATGGAATGATGGGGTTTTTTTTGCACGGACAACATTGTTTGATACAGCCCAGTGTGGTGCATCTGTTGTTAAATGTATTCCTTCCCCCCAGTGGATTCCCAGTGCGGTGCATCTGTTGTTAAATGTATCCCTGCCCCCATTGATCCCTGATTAGTCTTAAAACATCATGGTACTTACAGCTTGTTCGACTAGATTTCCATCCTGATAGAGTATTGTGTAAATGAGAATATTCATCCTGAGCTATTGCCAGTCGCTGTTCCTTGACATTATATATCTCCTTTTTAGCCTGGAAAAAAAACCAAATAGAGAATAAGTGTCTCAAATATTTAATATAATAATGCAAATTAAGCAATGATTTTGCAAACTTAAATTTTTTTTTTCATTCTTTTTTTTATCGTATTTCTGAAATAATGGAGCCAGAAATATTTTTTTTGTTTCCTTGACAAATAGAAAAAGCTGAAATGATCTTGACTTTTAATACTTATTTAAATTTTTTAATAAACTTTCATGAGTTCTGGTCTTGATACAGAATGAAATCAGGATCTACATGTATGAAGTATCACAGTTTTTCTTTGGGACAAACTTGAAATGAAATTGACCAACTCATGGATTTACATTAAAATGTCATAAATACAATTAACCATGTAATTTTTTCTTTAAAAACTTTTTAATTTTACATAATGCTACAGCAGAACAGTAGGACATTAAATCCCATTTCATTTCTTTTCATTCACATAATGCTACTACAAAAAATTGTAAATTCTCTCATAAAAATACCCAAAGGTAAATTGTAAATTCTCTGATAAAAATACCCAAAGGTAAACAAAATTGAGTTGCTGGTGAATTTAACAATAATATGCCAGCAATCCAATTTTTCTGTGTAAAAACACATACACTTAGAAAATATATTAATAAATATAAATAATGCTTGTAAAAAAAATAATATGCCTTTACTCTAAAAATAATTGTCCAGCCAATCTAAGGTCAATAAAACTGACTGACTGATAATTTTTTTTCAAATTGAGTGTCCTGGGGCTGACCAATAATATTTGTAGTAAATCTATAACATGGGTGATCTAGGATCTATGTAGGTAAGGTCAATAAAAATGACCAAGTACTAAATTTGTTTAATTGAGAGCCTTGGGCTGCCGAATAATATTTATAGTAAATCTATATATCTACATGTATGTATAGGTAGTAAACAAGAATAGCTACACCTGAACTATATAATGCTATAAATCATGGCTGTTGTTGCAGATGTTATAGAGAAGATGTTTGGGAATAAGTAAAGATATTATTAAAGGCTATCATTACTACATTCCTGTCCGTCAAGAGCTATTCTTTTCACACTATGACAAACTACTCAGTGAATGGCCACTAACAATAAGCGTTTATATCCAGTGGTTACAATGAGGCCCCGCGCATAAAGCCGGTCTTTTCCACCTCACCTATTTCATTCTATACAGAAACTACTCGGTCTTTCACAACACCCTATATCCGACTTCATCATTTTCTTATACAATAGACATACTTGAATAACAATCTACATGTCCTTAAATATTTCACATAGGTAGATCAGGTTTTGGTTTGTTTTTTTTTTTAAATAAATTTAGTGCAAAAGAGAATAATTAGAACTTTAAATATATTTCACAAGTCAACTTTTACTTATGTCTTTGGGAGTTTAAAAGTACGACACAACTTGAATATTTTAAGTTATTTCGAAATATTTACGACAGGTTTTTTATCAAGTTTATTAGATTGCATGTGAGATAAGTACATGTAATGGTCACTCCTAAAAAAATATCTTTGCTTTGCAATCTTTTCAGTTTAAGATTTTTGTTACAAACTTGTAAAAAACATCCCATAGGAGAGCTGTCGTCTGTGGGTAAAAATACTGCAATGCTTTCATTTAAGATTCTTGTTACTAACTATTAAGAACCATCCCACGGGCAGACGTATAATACCTCCATATTACTTGTAGATTAAAATAGACTTTTTCTAATATCAGTGATAAGCTGAAGATCGTAAACAAATCATAAAATCTTTGATGTTTTAATTAATGGTAAGTGTTACCGCATGAAAATTAAGTTGATGTTTTGTTTTAAGATGACTCATGCCATTATTTAATAATAATAGAAATATCTGAACTCTTTACTTCCTCATGTTCGTAAACATGAATAATTATACAACTGAAAGTCATTTAACAACAACAACAAATTTCCTGTTGCCATAATTAAACCATTCAAGTTTTCTTTTGGTTATTAGTGACGCAACTTCTGGCATCCATGGTTTTTAATTCTTAAACGAACATTTTAATTTCTACATCTACATCAATGAAAGCCAGCAGAATTCAATTAAACACGACTGAGTTTATGAAAATACAATTATGAATAAACCATTAATGGTATAAGGATGTTCAAAAATTTTCTTTTTATATCATTAGGAAGTTCATAGATCAAATGCTCAATCTTGTATTCGTAATCAATCAAAAAGGAAAATAAATTTAAAATAATGTGGTTTCAACGGGCAGTCCCTTCTTTGGCAGGACGTCATACGCTAAAATTTGATAATATTTCAAATAAAAAATATTGAGCCATTCAGGCATTCAGAAATGTTCGATAGTTTTGGTTAACATGGTTACATAACTACTTCAGATTCTTACATTATATATGCATGACTTGATAACAGTTTAAACTATGACTTCAGAGAGCATGTAGACATAATTACATGTACATGTATGCAGCCACTCACATGGAATGGAATTTGTAAAAATATACCAGAGTTTCAGATACTTGTACAGAACTACTGGCACCTTGAATTAACAAGTTTTTATTCAGTAAAACATATAATGTCTGCGGGCTGAAAATCTGGCCTTTGATTTATCTGACAATCTAAATACCCAATACATAAACCATTAAAATAATCTGTTCTTACCTCTAAATCATCTTGTGCTGTCACCAAGTACTCTTTTAACATGACTTCTTGTTGTTGCCGCCATTGCAACCTGGGATCTTCCAGCTGGTTCACCTCTGAAACACGACACAAACTACAGTTAGAAATACGTCTCACAACGCGCATACGCTTAAATCGCTGCACAAAAAATGGTTTTGATGCCATTGTTTTGTCAGGAGGTGCATCCATCATGTGTATATGTGGTAATACTGGGTATATTCCTGATGGTAATGGTGCTGGTTTTGTGAGCTGTATAAGTGATGCCTTAACAGCAGAAGAATTAGCCACTGGTGTTGATAATCCATTGATGCGCCGAATAAAGTTTCTGCTCCTTGCTGCAGCACTAACAGCTTCTGCAAATGATGGTGGACCAGCAGGGCAATCTCCATCACTACCTTCCGGAAACAATTTCCTGAAATTCTTTTTAATGGTAGAATCAATCGTTCTTTGATGATATTCTCCATAGATCACAGGTTTAACGACACCTGGTGGTTTGGCACTGCGCTGTAATGGAGGAGAGGAAGGATGCCGATGTGGTGGAGAAATCTGGCCATCAGAATGAGTACACCAATCACATGATTGCTGATGTCCAATTTTTGGAGAACTTGAAGCAGAATGTTGTAAAAGTAAATGATTTTGCTTTGGAGATAGAGAACTATGTCTAGTTAGGGCATTGGCATGCCATGAGGCAGAACCCGGTTTAGAGTTTTGTATACTATCAATGCTTGCACTTCCAGGAGAATCTGCTTCATCTTGAAATCTGAGAACATCAAAGGAATTAGTTTTTGTTGGATTATAATTTCCATGCTGTTCTGTGTAATTTGCACAAGTCTTTGAGCTTGAAATCTTAGGACTTGGGCATCCTTTTGGTTTCTTCGATTCAGCCCTATTTTGTTTCTTGTTTTTCTTACATGTAGCTTGACCAAGAGCCATTTGATTTATACCATTGGTGTCGACTATAGATTTGTAAGGGATCACATCTTGAGCTCCTTGACCACTGTAAGCTGAGCCATTCAATTTGTTAACATTATCCTTTGAATTGTTTTTTATGGGAGGTGAGTTTTGCTTGGATGATAAAGATCCGTCATCCAGCATTTTATACTACTGCTAGGTGGATGACAAAAAACATTAGCATAAATCAGATATAAAAGCAAACACTAGATTATTTCCATTACCATCCACTTAATAAATACATAAATCCAAAGCACGACACAACTTCTTCGCTATGTTATCCATTCAGCCATCACAGCAATGATGATATTAACTCCATATACTTGCACATAACATGACAGTGTTATTTATCTACATTTTAAATTTGTGACAACTGTTGGCTCTCCAAGTAAAAAAAGTCTGTTCATTGTATTTTAGTCAATATAAAGCATAAGCAAGAACTTTTCACGCTGTAGAACATCTTTCTCTTTGAATTATCCTGTTTTCATCCGATTTTTTTAGCTTTCTTTGCGAATTATGAAACGTGTGGATCTGTCGTGTCCTGAAGCAACCACGAGTTAAAAAAAAAATTCTTTGACCCATTTCTGTTATGTAGTAGTGTAGATATCTTCCATGCATGGATGATTGTAGGAGACATGCTCGAACGACCAGCCAGTCAAATAATTTTCTTCAATATCCTTGCTTACAGCAACAGTGGCTCTCTTTACAATGACAAAAAATGTTGACCCCTTAAGGTTATCAATGTAAATTTAGGCGATGGTATATGTATACTCCTTCATAACTATTGCATTATTATTACTATTATCAGCTCTGATCTTATTTCTTTCCATTTAAAATCGTCGTCACATCTACCCATACCATCTTGTCCATTGTTCAACGTTCTTTGTTTTCATTTGCAAGGGATCTTGTTACCTGTCATATAGGCCTATGAAAAGACAGCCACTTGTGACTATATGGATTTTAAACATTATCTACCTGGTTCTGTCAGTAATATTACCCATTTACCGATATATGTCATGTATTGCTCATTGTTTAATTACTGTTAACAGATGTTACTGTGTGTGAAACAATCCGTGCATAACCTACATCATAAAATAAAATGGTGTATATTTATGTTGACACATCCCTACCGATATAATAAATTACTGATGAATGTATTGACGGATGGGAAAAGAAATTATTAACTCTTATGTGATCCTGCAAATTATATATTTAGTAATGATACATGCTGTGCATATGGCAGGGTATGCTTACTTTTTCTAGAACACTTCATACCACTTTTCATTTTTGTAATTCACAATAGTTCAAATATTTTTGATTTTCTTAAAAACTATTTCATTAAAATTATAATTTGATATCTGAACATTTTTAAATCTATCAATGATTTGATTCATTTATTTTACACAGTACGGTAATAAATTAGTTTGCAGGGAAATAAAATGACATTCCTATTAATAAAAGATGGAATTATCTGGCACCTAAAGCTAGTCTTTCAGGTAATATAAAGAAACTAACATTCTAAAAATTTCTACGATTTTAAAACGTTATTTCAAAATGTACCGTATACAAATTAAAAAGGGGAAAAAAATTCCATTAATAAAAGATGGAATTATCTAGCACCTTAAACTGGTCTTTAAGATATCAAAATATGAAATAAAGGTGGAATTATCTAGCAACTTAAACTGGTCTTTATGGTATTAAATAAAATAGAGTTAGTACGGTATAGAGTACGGTATATTAAACAGGGAAATAATAAAAAAATTCCCATTAATAAAAGATGGAATTATCTAGCAACTTAAACTGGTCTTTACCGCATTAAATAGAATAGAACTAATACCACTAGCTTACACTATATATCATTAACCTACATATTAACACTTGCTTCACATTATATTATGTGATGGTCGGCTTTTAGTGGCAGCCCTGGTATGTCACATTAATAAACTCGAGAAACAAATCTTCGTCATATTGTGACAACTCCTGTCACTGTCAAATATCTAATTTATGCAACTTCACGTTTTTATCATTCTCTTAAATTTGTTAATGTATTCATAAAATAAAATAAGTGATCCTCCAACTAGTATATTTTAATATATTAAAAGTTTAATATAAGCCTACATTTTCATCTGAATTTACATTTGTATATATTTTAAATGGTGTTTAAAGTCTTACTTTTGTGCACCAACTGGGCTAATGAAGACGGGCACACGCCATGCAATGCACTATGACGGAGCAAACCTGGAACCTCCTGATAGGCAAGACACTGTGGTGCCATCTGATTTCTAATGACAAAATATTTTTTTATGTGATTCATTTTTGTTTTTAAATTTTGTTTATAAGTTTTTTACTGTTGTGGGGGTAACATTGCTTCCAGGAACCATGATATATGTTTAAAAGAGTGTTTACATCATGCTGCATTTATCAGTTCTGTCTATGTTTTGAAGAGAAGTTTTCTTGATGTAATGAATTATTGTTATTCAATTCCGTCTGCAGCAATGTCATTTGTTTTTATGCAAAATATTTATGCACTCCACCAATGATCACCCTACGTGGCAAATTAATCAATCCTCTCTTCTGAAGCAAATTGTTCATTCGCGAGAATCTCAGCATCTCAAATACAAAACATTGCAAATATAGAAAATAATAGATCAAAAACTTCCCCAAAGGTAAATTTTGGTTGCATCTTTCATCCAGTCCATATGTTAGAATAGAATAAACTTTAAGATTATGCACATCATGTACTTTATTTTGGGAATACGCAGAAATGACCTTTCCTCAACACAGTGGATATTTCCAAAAATAATATTAACATTTGAATTCATCTGATTTCAATTTGAAGACATTTCACACAAAGGATAAGTTTGTGAATCATATTACTCTGGATCATTTCCCTAATCTTAAATTACATGTACAACTCATTAATAACAAACCCTAGACTAGCCCCCACTGGGATTATCTGCCCTTTTAGACCTATGGTGCCATCACTAAGAATAAGTAAACAGAAATAGTTCAGTAAAGGTCTTCAGGGATTTGATCTGACCGCTGGCTGGATTTGTGTAACCTGTGTTCACTTTTGGCGAGGTCAAATGACTTTACCATTATGCATTCTGATAGTACATGTACTTTGTACATCTTCCATTCAAAATTATATGGAACCAAATACATTCAGATTTAGTGGTATGGCACCCCCTGCATGCTAAAACAACAATAATAGTTCTATAGTGGATTTAACATTTCACAGATTTAAGTTCAGGTAGACAAAAATATATTTACAATTCATAACGGACAACTATAATTTACTCCTTTCAAACTTGACACCTGTTTTATGGTTGATATAAAAAAAAAATTTTTTCAAATCCAAACAATGTCTGGCCACAGAATTAAAATAAGATATATTATTATGAATTGTCTACTTACGGTTAATATGATCTATATAATAGACACCTAGACTAGGGTTATAAGCTTCTTCCCATCCTATAGGTAACTCATCACCTACACAATCAGCAAACGACTGAGGCTTCGTTAACCTGAAATAAACATAGAAAATTAAATTGCTGATTACTTTGGAAAGAATCTTCGGTAAAATTTTATTTGAACACAATTTCACAGAATCCTCAATGAGCAAATTAAAGTGCATATAAAAGATGCCACATCAGCTCAGAAAAAAAGCAACAGACCTGTAGTTTGCAATTTTGATGAGGCATCATACAGAAATATAGTTAGCATGAAGAAGATTAATGTGGATTTTTGTGTGTTTTGTGAGTATCCAGAATATAAAGCATCTTTATGTTCAATATAATACCATAAAACCACAAATATTACATGCAACAGCTACCAAAAAGATCCCTTAACATTTATTTTTGAATGAAAAAGAAAAGGTAATTCTGTCACCTGGGGCAAAATGACACTAGATTAAGACTCACAGTAGCTCCAATCATGTCAGAAAAAGATTTTCCAAAATGACATCGAGTGGAAAGCAAAATTCGGAAAATACTGTAATAACTAATATACATGTAGCTATATCTATAAAGCATTTCTAGAAATAAGACCAGATTTATAAATTTGAAGTCGTGCGTGATAAATGAATATTTAACTCATATTTGTACAGAATCGACACACCTATCCATTTTTAAAAATGAATACATGTGTACCTCTCTTATATATTATATGTACGCTACATATAGCATTTCAATTATAAGTTTGTAGTTGAACACTAATTCATTTTTATCAATAGTCCGTTATGAAATGTCCTCATTCAAAAACCACAAGTAGGTAATTTTACATTAAAGCAGCCTCACTGATTCACCCTATTACGGAGTGATTGAAATTTAAGTTCACAAGGTTACTAGGATTTTTTTCAAGTTAATTTCAATTTTGAAAAAACAAATTTCAAGTGTTTTGTACCATTCACAAAGAGTTTTTGAAAGGATGTTAATTTTTCATTTCATTTCCTTTTCACAGCAATTATCTGAATATGCTTTTTAGTGCAAGCTGTCTGAATTGTTGAGATGAGTGGTTTAACAAAAGAAGGACTTTATCCACTAAATTTTGAAATTCTATAACAATCAAACTCATTTTTTAGTACATAAAACTAGACTGAAAATATTATGAAGATTTTTCTTGGATGAGAGAGAGAGAGAGAGAGAGAGAGAGAGAGAGAGGGAGGGTTTAATGTCCATTCAACACAAACTAGGTCATTTCGGGACCTGGAAGAAAACCCACGAGGCTGGATAGGCAACCCAACTCCTTGTCACGTACAACCGTACAACCCGGGAATCGAAACCCTGCCAGTTGACTCAATGACAAACCTTATGATACAATGTGCAAGCACTAACCATTCGGCCATCCAACCCCCCTTTCTTGGATGAAGCTGGGATTCAATACTGGCCAGGCCATTCTGTGCACTAACCACACATCGACTTTGGCCACACTGAATTTGAAGTGAGTTTGAAGTACATGTATAACCACAATGGAAAATGCAATGAAAACTCAGACTAAAGATCGTTATTTAATATTTCAAATTTTCCCTGGTCAGGATTATTAAGCTGAAATTTCATATTTATACATTTGATGAGAGGTTTGACAAGCTGTCATCACAACTACCTGTAATATGACCCCAGTAATCAAACAGGTGATATAAAACTTGTCAAATGTCAATCATACTTGGATCATACCTGTCAAAATGTTCGAAATAACACCAAAATCTATACCTTATACAAGTATACATACAATATACTTCATACAGGATCTACAATTAATTTACCTAGAGCAATACATGTACTTATTAAAAACTAAATTGAATTTTTTGTGCAGCTTATTTAGGTCAATAAAAAAATTAATCAATCAAATGAAGTCCTGGGGACATTCATCAAGTTATTTCAATTGCAATTTTAAAAAGTTTCTGATCTTTAACAATCGCTGCACTTTAATAAATATTACATTTAGATTGAGTATAATTATCAAAAAATAAAAAGATTCATGATTTAAGGAAACTCGATGAACTCTTGTTACACCATCCATCTATGGTTACGTGTGCCATCTAAGAAAGGTGAATTTTGCCTTGACGGCAGCATATCAGTCTACTTCAGATTGATATTGATCAGCCAGGGTTCCTTTATATGCGTCCAAAACTAGGCAAACTTTCAACGTCAGCCCTACAGTCACAACCCCTGATATGTAATCAGCCCAAACCTGTATTCGAACCCTGGACAGTCTCATTTCCAGTCCAGTGTTCTGACTGCTTGACTACCACACCCCCTCCTCAAATTTTGAGAATTATCAAGTTGAATAAATGGATCTGATGTTTATAATGTAAAATTCCTAATACGATCTCAAGTTGTCAACAGACTTCATGTATTCGTCTATATAATGTAACCAAATTAAATTTCATAACACATTCCCTTCACAATTTACAAATCAAAACAATTTTATATTTTATGGCACCATAATTTCAGGGTATAACAGAACCATTGACAATATCCTATTTACCAAACATAACAAAATTTATTACAAAAAATGTTGGAGTTCATACAATACCCATGACCCAGATTTGATTGATAAATTTGAAATTTGATGATCATTTATCATAGAGTACAATATAAAGTTATTTTTTTAATGGGGGTTGAAATATGAGCTACTTTGTTTCTAAGAATGACAGGTTCCGCTTGGCTGACCATATCACATTAATCACCTCTATCAGTCTTCATTCATAAACAGGTAGCCTATATGTATGTATATATATATATATATATATATATATATATATATATATATATATATATATTAACTATTGAATAACTCGTATTGTATGCAAACTGTGGAAGCAGACCTTAACTAAAGCAATTTCACAAATTGGGTACATAAACCAACCTATCACATGTAGATGTACCCAAGCCTAGTTACCGAAATATAAGTACAAAAGAATTTGTTAGATATATTTATGTGAAATTCCCAAATAAATAAGTGGTATCGGGTGTTCTCAATGAACAACACCCCTCAACACCTATATAATTAATTGGAACAACGGGTTATCGATGGATGCAAGTCTTAAAAATGCTGAACATATTAATGAAGTAAAATGTATTGGTACAGGCATATTTCTGTTTACAAGAAGATAGAATGACAGTGCTCATGGTGTTTGAAAAATGTGTTTATTTCTGTTTTAATTTCAAAATATCTGAAAGGTAGTTATAAATGAAACAGGCTAACGCTGTGTAAATGTTTTAGAGCAGTAATTGACCTATAAATAAATGATCAGAGAGAGGTTTTAGTTGAACCAGTCAATACCGTATAGTGAACACTGAGGCAGTGCAATCGCATTACTCGATATTCACTTGGTAAATCTCGGAATTCCACAATAGAAAACACAGCAATATCGCGATTTCCGTACTGTATCATACTAAAGAGGGGCTAATGATCCATGCAATGAACAGGCAATCACAATTTTGTCATCTACAGAAAGCTGTGAATTCAATTCTTCTTACTGTTAAAAGAATGAATGAATCAAGATATAGACTATAGGCGTTATTACGAGAAAACAAATCGGTTTCGATTACCTATTCTGGTTTATACTTGACGTAGGTCTCGAGTTGGTATTTAACTAAAAACTAAAGAGTGGAGAAAACTTCATTTTTCCTTATTCTGTTCTTGAAGACACTGGCCAAAAATAAAAATGAGAAGTTGAACCAGTTGACTGTTCCCAAATGCCTTGTATTTGTATTAATAGGAATGTCCACAATATGTACATTTTAACATCAAATTTAAAAGAAAATGAAGTAACGTCAGGCATGTCGTGTCCCTTGTGGGGGACACCATCTTGGAAATCAAATGATCAATCAGGCAGGTGAGCAAGTTGGAAGATTTGCATAATTGATTTGGTAAATCATTGTGGTAAATACGACGGTTACGTGGAACCAATTAGGTTAATTTTTTTTTACGTAAACTTGATTGAATGGGATTTGCAAATTGATTAGCCATAATTGATATCTTGTAAAAATGCCTTTGATTAGACTAAAAAGAATGTGGGCATATGCTGAGCAGATTTTAAACCCTATTCCTCTTTAAAACTAGGCTACTTTACCTACATGTATTATGTTAGATCTATTGTTACATGATCAAGCATAATAACTACTGCTGTATTGTAAATTACCTATACATGTATAACAGACTGAACACAGGTGCACACTGTATTTGGTTAGTCTACCTGTCTGTGTTCAATGAAGGGAACATAATGCACTTCTTCAATAGAAATTAAATTGAGTTCAAATCTTGAGATTTTTTTCCTACTTTTTGTATGTGAACTTCAACCCTATCTGTGATGTTGAATTGATGGATTAACTTGATTCAAGTTAGTAGGTCAGTGGTGGTAGTCTGTCGTCAGGAAATTAAAACTGAAAGACCGGTACAGGTAAACTTCCCGTCTTTCATCAGATCTACTCTAAAGACGTTATTAAAAATAATGTCTACAGGAAATTAATATCAAGTAGATATTGTATTACTACATTTTAACTGTCCTAATCCACATCTATGGTGTAAAAGTCTATGCATCATCTGCTGTTCATTTTACAGCATTGGCGGGCCTTGAATGACACTACCTTTTCAAAAGATCCTAAAACCAACGTTATTTTAGCAAAAAGAATACTTCCTTAGAACATATCTACATGTATTCAGGATCAAATAGCTCCTGTATGGTCTCATAAAATATTCTTAAAGCCATTGAATTACAGCTTTAATTATTAATTACCAACTATATAAAGTAACTACAACTTTACTTTATTCAAGAAACAAACAAATAACGTGGCATGCCTAACGTAACATGACATGACAACACAGGCACAATACCTATGGTAGTCTAGATACAAGCTCTACAGTAAGGTCAGAGAGAAAAGCCAACTAGACATACAACTAACCCTGACTGAAGGAATGTATGGTATTTCACCAGGCAATTTACATTAGGCCAATACAAGTCATATATCAAATTTACTTTTCAAATAAATAGACCAGTAGTTATGATAATTACAGTTATAAG